ACCACAAAATAAAACACATAAAACACAATAAAATAAGGACAAAAACACAACAAACACTTCTCTATTCTTTATTTGTTCGATCACTGATGTACAAAGAGACGTGCAAAAATCAATGAGTGACAGGAAAGAAGTGTAGAAGTCAAAGTGAACAGTTGTTCAATGAAATCCAATCACTGATGTACAAAAGCCGCACGTCGCACCCAATTTATGGGGAGGAAATCCTGCGATAGTGATGTGGACTGTGGAGACGTGCGCCAACGAAGAACCTAAAATTACTCTTGCGTCCTCCAAAAGCTGAAAATACCAGGATAATTAAGACAACACTAATAATTAATAAGGACATCAATTTTACCATATTGTTCTCAGTGTTTTGAAAGTCGCTAGGCGCCCGTTAGGCACTCGACCAGCTCCTAGAGCCTAGGGCGCCTAGGCGAGGCTTAGGCGGCGCCTAGTCGGGGCTTAGAAATCTATATTAATTACCTTATGTTTTATTCATTTTAATTACCTACAAAATAAAATTATCTCAACTAATAATAAATCGACACACCTAAGTCTAAATAATAAAATTAATATATTTTAAAGAAAACACGAAAATAAAATAATGTAATTAGTATTTAAAAAATTTAAAAAAAAAACTGAAAAATTACCGCCGAGCCCACCTAGGAGCGCCTAGATCCACCTATGCCTGCCTAGGTGCCGCCTAACCGCCGAGCCCGCCAAGTCCGCTTAGGAACGCCTAGGCGCCGCCTAGCCGCCTGACCAATTTTTTCTGTTGATTTGTGCAACTCGGAGGCGCAGGCCACCGCCTAGTGCCTAGGACTGTGATTGTTCTTCCACATTTGTGCAACACATTCTTAAACAAAAAGGGCATTAAAGTAAATACACTCAAATGAGTCAAGCAACCAAAGCACCACTTGTTGTAGATTCATATATAATATAGAGATATATTTGTGTGTGTGTGTGTGTGTATGATAAATAATTCAACCTATTTTTTTTCAGCCAGTTTAATAACGTAAATTAATGTTAGTTTTATCAATTCATGTTATTCTTTTTATCAATTTTTTATTCTAAATTAAATTTTTAAGTGTTGTAAAATACATAAAATTTTATACATTGTATTATTAATTGAGATTCAATGGTTCTTTATTTTATTACATATTTGTTGAAAAAATAAAAAATAAAATACATTCTTATTTGTGTAAGGAGTGATTGTGATTTTAATAATAACGAAATATTTTTATAATAAAATAATACTAATATAAGTATATAAGTATAAGTGGAAAACTTTTGATAAAATAATTTAAATGTACATGTGTCTTATCATATAAATATAGTATGTATATCATTTCTTTGGTATATAAGAATTACATTGTCTGTTAAATTTATTATTTTTTTTACTTTTGTGATACTTTTATGTTTATTAGTAATACAATAATCAGATTGTATAAAAATTAAATTATTCATTATAGTCATATAATAGTAGTCATTAATATATGGTAAATTCTACATTTCAATTGTTTTTTTGTATGGAGTATAACAATTCAACTAAGAATCTTTAATGTAATTTAATTATCAATGTGTTATATATTTTTAAGTAAAATTTTGTTTTAAGTATCATTTATCTAAACATATATATTTTTTTTTAACCAGTGCGTGTGCACAAGATTGATTCTATTTATACTAACAACTAATCAAATCATTTTTTATTTTTTATTTTTCTAAAATTAACTTCATCAAACCAAAAAAAAAAAAAAAAAAAATCAAACAAAATCAAAGTATTTCATATCCTAGCGCCTTCTTCACCACCCTCCCGTTTTATGATGCCTTTCCTTGCTCGCTCCTTTTTCCCCTGTAATAATTCTGTAAGCACACCATTCTGGCTAACGCCAGAGAGTACTAACGTACGCGCACGCCACTCACACTAACTGGCTCACGCCCCGAATAAAATAGGAGAAAAACAAAAGGAAAAAGGAATGTGATTACCTTTTTTATTTCCTTTCTGTTTTCTTCTCACCAGCAAATGTTGCAGATCTTCAAATTAAACAGTAAAAACCCTCACATTCTGCTCAAAACTCTCGATTTGAGACATGGGTTCTGTTCTTTTTTTTTTTTTTATTTTCAAAAGCCGGATGTAGTCGCCATTAGAGAGAAATAAAGTTTCTTCCTTTTTTTTTTCAGAAGTTCACAGCAGTTTGATGCCAAAGATTTGATTTTTTTTTTCTTTTCTTCGAAAAAAAAGGGTTTAGCTGGATGTTTCTGAATTATATTAGCTTGTGAATAAGTCTAGAGGAAAAGGGTACTTAGGCCATCTCCAACCGAACACCCCATGCTCGAACCCATTTTGCAGTAATTCTTCCTTCCAGTTGTGTTTCTTTACTCGTATTCTTGAAAAAAAAAATTGAGGTGGGGTTTACTTATTTTCCTCGATTCTCTTCTCAAATCGGAGAAGATCTGAAGTTGTTTAGTGTAGAAAAGAGAATTTCTACTCTTATAGTGGCAAAGATGATCCCTTTGTTCTTTTTGGTTGTCTGTTTGGAGGGTTTAGTGGCGTTTCTCTTAGTTGTGAAAATTGGGCCTTTAAGGGAACTGGTAATCAAGTGCTTAGAGCAGGTGAAAATGAGAAGGGCTACGGTGTTAACCATTGCTGGCACTATATTTGTCATCCTCTTATCGAATTTAATCAGCATTCTCAAAATACAGAACAAGGGTGCTAAGCATGGTACAATGACACCTATGGATCAAGTTATGTGGAGGACCAATTTGTTAGAGGCTACTTTAATGGGTATGCTTCTAATAACTTTAGTCTTCTTCCAAGAATGTCTACCTTCACTCTTTTTTGTTTGTGTGACGAAATTCGTGTTTCTTGCTTATGTGCTAATGTAGCTGCTGTATCTGGCCTTTGGGTCTATTTTGGTGTTATTTTGCTATGAAAGCCATATCGGTTTTGCCACTCTTTTATACATTGGTTCATAAAACTGAGTTACAATATTTTGGTATGAGTTTGAATTCGAGTTGTTGAAATAAGAGGGTATAAAAACTTAGTTATTGAAAGCAAGATTTTCTACTCAAAGGCTAATATTCGAACTCATGACATGCATAGCTAACAGAAAGCCTTGCTCTATCATTTGGCAAGTGGTGTATAAGGGTTTAGGTTGAATCTGTTGTGTTTCAATGATATGATCTCTAAACAGGATCGTGCCAGTCCCGAAGGTTTTTATCAATGGGTTTCAAATAATGGATGTCAATTGAATTAGTTGCAAAATAGAATACACAAAGTGTATGCACATTGATTCTGATTTATATATATGTATTATTGTTTTCATAATCGGTTAATCAAATTAAACAATAGATAGCACGACCCAAGCCCTATAATATCGTAGAATTAGATACGGTGAAGACATTTGGCATCATCTCAATTTATTTGGGTTAAGGTTAAGTATTTCGTAAAAACAAGGTTGTCTACAAAAGACTGCATATCTGTAGTCGTTTCATTTTTCTGTTACAGTTCCACTGATTTTTCTTTGTAGAATAGTACATGAAGGATTTGAGGAAAAGGGGATTGTTAATCTCATCTTATGCGGATGCTCTTTTTGCTAATATATTATTCTTCTTTTCCTATATCATTCCTCAGAACAATATTTGTGTACCTCCACCACATTTTAATCAGGTGTTGCTATAACTAATGAAATTATGAGACATTTGTCTTAGCCTTTTTTCTAGCACCAGAGAATGAGTAATAAATAATAATGAAGAAAAGGATATTTTCTGTTAAACATTCAATCAAACATGGCTTGACTAATCTTCATGCTTGACAATGTTTCCTGTTTAATTCAGTCCCTTCTCCTTTTTGAGGAAACTACATTGTAATTTATGATAACTTACATTGTTTTTTTTTTCTTTCAGGGTTCTCGCTATGTCTCGGTTTTCTAATCGAACGCATACACCATTACATGCAAAAGCTGATCAAAATAAGGAGCAATAGAGGAGTTTCGAAGCAAGAATACGGGAGGCTTGAGAAAGAGAAGATGGAGCTCAAGGAAATGGAAGAAAAAGCTGCTGCAGAAATCAAACGACTTAGAAAGGAATTATCTTCTGTAACCGAGAATTTGAACAAGCTGAAGGTGGAGTTGGCCGAAAAGGAGAAGCAAGTGGAGACCGCTGAAGCACATGTTGTTGCTCTTCAGAAACAAGCCGAGGATCTGCTTCTAGAATATGACCGACTATTGGAAGATAACCAAAATCTTCAGAACCTTGGATATCGGTAATCAACAGAAAAATTGTTAGAATTGGGTCGTAAAAGTTTGGAATTCATTTTGTTGACGAATCAGTCTTGGAATTTGTTGTGTTGGCATATCATGTTATTGTTGACCATAAGCACTTTTTTTTTTTTTTGGCTTTCTAGGTAAAGTATGAGCTGATTGGGGAGTGGCTCGTCAACCACAAGACTTGTTGATGATTTTTGTAAGCGTAGGGGATTCAATTTCTCTGTGAATTATGTTTTTGCAGACTGCTATTTGTGATACAAATTTGAGCTGTTTCGGTCATAATTTGTTTATGAGAGTGTTCATGTGGTGATATAAGGAAGAATTAGGATCATGTGAGAAAGAGTGTATGTGAGAAAGAGTGTGAGAAAGAGTGAAATAAATAAGAATGATTTTGAACTATCCATCATATTCCACTCAATTGGTGGATCCTAATTCCTAACATACACCATCCCTCACACACAAGCACACAAATATACACGTACACAAAAA